TAATCTGTCACATATCTTTAAACTTAAAACATATATATATGTATATATAGAGAGAGGGAGGGAGAGAGAATGTGTGTGTGTTTGCAAGTAGTGGGGCTTGAACTCAGGGTCTCATGCTATTATTTAGGTTTTTCTGCCCAAGGGTGGTGCTCTACCTACTTGAACTACACCTTCACTTCTGGCTTTTTCCTAATTAATGGGAGATGTGTCTTGGATTTGTCTTCCTGGCTTGACTTTGAAACTAAATCCTCACATCTCAGCCACATCCCAGTGTTAGAATTTTTTTTAAATAAGGTATTTTTAAAAATCAGATTTAAACACTGAATTTTATAAAACATTTCATACACATCTCTTGAGGTCATATTATGAGTCGTTCTACCCCCACCCATCCATTTATTGTTATAGCGTCCTGGATAAAAAACTCATTACTTGATTTCTGGAAATTCATTTGTAATTTTGTAAAAGCCGGGCACTGGTGGCTCACGCCTGTAATCCTAGCTACTCAGGAGGCTGAGATCTGAGGATCTCGGTTCAAAACCAGCCTGGGCAGGAGAGACCGTGAGACTCCTATCTCCAATGAACCACTTGAAAACTGGAAGTGGCGCTGTGGCTCAGGCTGTAGAGGGCTCGCCTTGAGCTGAGGAGTGCAGGGACAGCGCCCAGGCCCAGAGTTCAAGCCCCAGGACTGGGGAAAGAAAAAAAGACACTTTTATAGCGTGTGTGTGCTGTCCTTACTGGGTGATGGGCTCTCAGAGTAACTTAGGAGTATGAGTACCTTCCTTTTCTGCACACAGAAATCCTAGTGGGGTAGAAGAAGGCAAAGGTCGGTGCAGCACAACCATGTTCTGATATTCTCACTGGACACAGAAAAATGGCTAACAGGTTTTCTTACAAGTTACTCCAGTGTCTGCCAGCATTACACTGTCAGTAGGCTTTGAAGTTTATTTTTTCTGTTTTTAATAGATATTGTTGCTAGCATATTTGCCTTGATGCTTCTCAGTAATAGTTCATGCAGTGTCCTTTGTAGGGCTTTTAAAAAATGCTACAGATTTCAAATGCTGTTACCTTAAGTATCTTAAGTACTTAACTGCCTTCTATTTTCTTCTCCCCTTTTTTCTTTGTAAAGTTCATTGTGAAGGATTCTGTTGAAGAAAATATGCTGAAAATACAAAACACAAAACGAGAACTTGCAGCTGGAGCTTTTGGGACAAAGAAAACAAATGCTAACGAAACGAAACAAGCTAAAATTAACGAAATCAGAACTTTAATTGATTTATAATTTGTGGGATTTTTGTAAGGTCAGTTTGATCAGATACATAAGTTTTGGAAGTAAAAATAGATTTAGGAGATCTAGAGAGTAAGTTTTCTAAAAGGGGCATATTGCTTCACTTTAGTAAATAGGTATTTCTGACGTGTAATCTATATATAAACCTATTTTTAATGACACTTCAAATAGCAATAAGTTCTGTTCTATACTATGGCCTAAAACAATTTTTGAGGAAAAAGATTACATTTGTTATTCTGCTTTTCATAGTAACTGCTGAGTATTTTCATATATCTTCCAAGTACTCGGCTTTTTCATATTTCCAATAAGGCTGACGCTTTTATACTCTTGACCAATAAAGATTTGTTTTCTGTGTTGGACATGTCTGGTTCTTCACCAGAGCCTGATTTGTGATGTACTGGCTCACAGTCCATGTAAATCCAAACACATGCAGACCGCCAGAGACACTGAATTCACTGGGCTTTCAAAAGCCTAATTTGCATTCCAAAACCAAACCTTAACTGACAGACCAAAGCCCAGGCTAGCAATTTTTTTGCACTTTTTAAAAAATAGCTTCATTGATAGTTTACGTGTGGTATGCAATATTATGTTTATGAAAAATGAGGGACTGTGTTACAGCTCTGTTGGCTCCATTTAGTCAGGTAGTTTTATAGTCACTGCATAACCGTAATTGACATGCACAGAGTGTAAATACAGTCTGGGGTGAGAGGGGACCAGTTTACCCCATCTTTATTTGAATGTTTAAGTTATGGAGTTTAGATAGAGATTTCTATGAGTAGATGCTTTATTTGTGCAGCTTTTTTGGAAGTAACTGTACATTCTTATAATTCAGAAGACTACTGTTTGTGCGAGGCGGGATGTCTGGACGGAAGTTGAGCTGGATGCCCTCCCCAAGTCCTTTCACCTCCCAAAGACCTCTGAATGGAAACATTGCTTTGTGTGTTTAGAGCCAATTTAATTTGGAGCTTCAGTAACTCATCCTCACCATTTTCTTACTTTGTTGTTGTTGTTGTTGTTAATAAGCAAACAGTATTTGCCACAGAATTCAAGATGACTCTGAGTCATTATTAAAACAATTAGAAATTTAGCAATCAAGTTAGGTAATCAGTGGTTTCTTGAGGGGACATTTTTTTTAAGCGCAGAAACTAAGTACTATAATAAGATGCTTTCTAGCTTAATGACACCGACTTCAGAACACCTTCAATGTTACTTCCAGCGGTAGAGAAAGGTAAGAGATTGGAGGCACACAGGTGGGTCTCCACGGTGGGTCCCGCCCGAGCCCTGCTGCCCACGAGCGTGGTGGGCAATCCAGCAAGACCCTCAGGTGCTTTCCCCAGAGGCGCCCAGAGGGGCGTTCTTGTTAAGTCAAGACCAAGACCTTTCTGCAGGGTGAGGAGTATAGCTTGGGATGGTCTAGCATGAGAAGCCCCAGGAAGGTCGTTCCCTTGTAGGTCCAGCATTGCACAAAAACTCAGATCAGTTTCATTGGAAGTGCCATGTGTGTTCTACGGATAAACTGGTACTCCAGTGAGATTAAGGACAAACAGGCGTTAAGGAAAACCCCCCACAATCTACTATGCTTGGTTACAAAGGTCATCCTATTGACACCAGTGTGTTTTTAAACACATTCATAAGTTTGGCAAGTCATCTAAATACCTTTTGTTTTTGTACAGTTAAGTGCTGTTAAATAGAAATTTCAGTTTATCTTAAAATATATAAACCACTGGAATGAAAACTTCACTTTACGCTATGCTGTTAATTGTTTTATTGCATAGAATAATAGCTTTAGAAAAACATTGGAAACATTGTAATCTCAATTGTGGTTCAAACTGAATTTTGTGGTTTAAACTGGATTTTGTTTTAAAGTCAATAAAAACTTCAAAAAATTACGAGTTTCTTTTGGAGCCATAATTTAATGTCTATTTTCTGTTTAAACACAATAAAAGAGAATCTCTCATTAAATCCCATTTCTTTGAAGTTGTTTATATTACATAATTTTTAACTGGAGCACACAAAAAGTACTGTGAGAATAATTTGCTCAGTCAACTTTTATTTTTATCAGTTTAACAGATTGAAATTCTTGTTCAAAAATTATCGTATTTAGTTTAAAATTCTATGAATAAAACACTGGTTTCAGTTAATTTACTCGTGTGTAAGAAAAAAAGAGGGTAATCCCCTGTACAAACAGCATGCTTAGGTCACTGAGCACAGCTGTGGGCCCGGGCCATGCTCACACTTCAGCCCCCTTTCATTCACAGCACTTACCACCTTCTCTTCTGTAGCATCTGGGCAAGATTCATTGAACATGTGAGGACAGACTTAATGTTTGGCTCCTAATAAATACCTTTTTATTTTTAGTACATTGACTCTTAAAACGCATTTGCAAAATACAGGCATAGAGGTTGTAAAGTAGGCATGCGCTAATTTATGTATTAATTATAGACTTTGATCATCCAGCATGTCACCAACGCCCAGGTGGATGGGTTTGACCTTCATGTGGGCAAGTTTGTCTTGGGGCCCAAGGCTGCTAGGCCCACCAGTGTTGGCAGCAGACAGAGAAGGAGAGGTAATTACCACAGTGGAGTCTTAACATGGAGATACAGCCTGTTTATCCACCTTACTCAGTCAGATTGACGGTCTTGGCTACCTGGAAAGGACATCCTTGACACAGATGGAAGGAAAGCAAGCTCAGCCCCATTCAGAAACTTCCCGGCCACATAGTTTAGACATCATACGCTGCTTTCTGTGACAAGCATCACTTTCTTCTAAAAGCCAATGGCCTTCACCAAATACTTTTGTAAAAGATAGAAATTATGTAAACTTTTACTGCCAGTTTCTTCTGCTGTGTTAAGGATAGGCAACAAAAGGTAGTACATAGAACACAAAACAGTGTTTTGCCTGACTTGGGTGCTTTTATGTCTGGTTTATATCAAAACTGGAGGTGATGGTGTTTATCTGAAGCTCTGAGTACTGAGTGTCCCGAGGGAGGGCTCTGGGGAGGCACCTGACACATGGAGGCACTTAAAAGCTTTGGTAAGTGTTTCAAGTACTTGAAGATCACTGTAACTTGTTCTCTACCAGTCCAAAGTGGCTGTGGTACTCTGGAGAGTCATTTTTCATTTCCTGTCTTAAGAGTTGTAGATAAACGCTCAGGGTCTTCCTTGAGCTCGTGGTGGTCTGCCTCCAGGGTGGCTTCTAGGCCATCCTTGTCCACCGGGTGCCCTTCCGCTGGATGGAGACGGAGGAGGAGCCTCCGCTCAAACCTCAGCTCGTTCTTCCACTCAGAAGTTTTGTCCTCTCCTTTGCAGTTTTGAAGTTCAGTTCTGATGTTAGTTTTGAAGGTGTTTTGGGCCAGTCCTTTCCCTCGCTTGCCATCCCTTGCAACCTAACATCATCTGTAAACTTGCTAACGGTTTACTTGAGATAAGAACTCTAGAAGGCATTGGTGCTGATTCTGATGTTCTGAAAGGTAACTGACTGACAGCCTGATAGTTTTCAGGTTGCAGTATTCTAACAGTAACTCCTGGGTGGATGACAAGACTAGTTTCATCTCACTTTGCTCTCTCCATTCACCATGTGGAGAACATTAGATTTAAATCTCCTAGGTAGCATGATCCCTGTGTCAAGCTTTACACCCTGACCGATTACAAATAATTTAACATGACCTGTTCGTGTTCAAGCATGAAGTGGGGAATACTGAATTAAACCACCAAGATACCATGATAAGTCTTTATTTTTCATATAGGATGCTACTGCAGGGAGCCATCAGAACACACTACTACTCCAAATACACAGAACTGAGCAAAAGCTTTTCCACATGCTGCCTTGAGGTGCAGGGAATACTGACGCACCGTTTATGGGTAGTCTTGTGTAGGACACTTGGCAGTGCCACTAAAGGCAGTTCCAAAAGGCAGGTCCCCAGAGGCGAAGGTGTAAGCAAGTGAGAGGTGGGCCATGTGAGAGGAGAGCGTGGAGCCCGGATCTGAAACACTGTAGAGTTCAAGCTAGCCATCGTAACAGTGTGACACTGCGTCTCCTTCACCCAGTACCACAGTCAGCATGGCAAGAGTTCCCGAACCACGAGCTAAACAAGAGAAAGCCGATGTGTACAGCAAGTGTAAGAGCTGCACGCCCTCAAAGCGTGAGATGGAGACGCTGCACTGCCCTAGCTCCTCACCACTTCTGCCCAGTTCTCACCTGCTTCGTGCAAAACCCTTCATCTAGTAAGTGCAAGCCTCCACAACTGTAACAGACTTCTCGCCACCCAGCTCTAGATACTACGAGCCTTGTCAGAACCAAGTGCCTGAGATGGGCTGTCCACAGAGAACGGTGGTGCCTCTACTGGAGGTAAGTGTCAAGTTTCCTCTGGATGTTATCGAAGGAGTCCACTCCCAAGTAATCGGCTTGGCCCTGTTCCCACCGCTCCTTCCGCTCTTCGGAGGACACGAAGGGCTGGGGTGCGGTGGGGCTCTCCCCGAGGGACAGGTGTGAGACGGCTCCGGAGACCTGCTCCTAGAAGAAGACGTCATGAGAGACGCTGAGAGCTGGGAACGAGACCGTGGGAAAGAAAGCAGCCAACTGAAAATGGTGAGAAGAGTCAGGGTGGACTGTCATGCAGAGTGGCAACATGAAAATAATTACAGAGAACACACGGGGAAAGACACAAAAATACAAGGGTCGCATGGCGGTTTCTCCTAACAAAATGAAGACTTCTCGACTCAGTGGAGACATAGAACAGTAACTGGGGTAATGTTTAAGTTCTGCATACCTTTCTACAGAAGCCACAAGAGAAAGCCAGTGAATAGGCCAATCTGAGAGCTGCAAACAGTTCATTGGAGAGCGTTAAGACGGGCGGGCAAGGGAATGAACACAAGCCTGGTGATAGATAAATTCGCAGTCTGGGTAGGCTTGGAAAGGTTGAGAACTTAAACAAAGCGATACCTCAGGTGCTAAGGACCTGCCCAGAAAGGCTGCAACACCTAGGTAAGTTGCTGCACTGAAAGAAAGAGAGTGGGGTGACTTCCGGACTTAGGTACTAGAAGGGATGAACGGTAAACACTGGCACTGGTGGTTCTAACGGAGAACATGGGGAGCACACTTGGAATGCCTGTCTGTCGGTCTGTCTCCATGGAGGGCGTGGCCGAGCAGCGCAGGAGGGGCTGCCCGGGCTCAGGCACCTTTCACCCCATTTGTAATGGGAATGGTGCTCCGTCACCCCGCCCAGGGCCTGTGAGCTACAGCAAGCTCCCAGGCTAGATCCTGGGCGTCTGTGCCTAGGTTGGCATTTCAAGCATAATCTCCCTTGCCCATCACAAACAGCGCTGCCATCCACACAGACCTCACGCGGGCCCCACCTTGAATTTTCGTAAGGATTGCAGTCTTTCTGACCTGGATTTGAGTCCAGGTTCTCCTCTTTCGGGGAGAAGGGAGGGGGACAGCCCATACTGGGTGGAGTGGAGTGGTGGTAGGGTTAGGGGGGCGGGCTCAGGTACTGAGCGCCTTGCTCCAGGTGCTGGGCAAGTGTGATGCTATGACCTGCATGCAACAGTGAAGTAAGAAGGTGGAGCAAGTTCTTCCTCTCCTCTCAAGTCTCCATTTTGTACAAATGGTAGCAAGTTACATGAGGACGATATCTGCGGTAGAAAAGGGAAGGATCTCTGGTCACTGTGGCCAGGGAGGTAACTGATTCCAGTTCGCCCGTGTCATTCTGTTCTCCGTGTCTTAGTGTCAGATCACATTCCTAATCCTCTTCCAAGCCATCCATAGAAGAAGCTGCCTCAGAAAACGTGCTCACGACAGACAGTCGCGACTGTGGACCTCCCTGAGAGAACTCCATGACGCGGCAGTGGCACAGGAGGCTGGCACTGGACCGCCACACCACCCTAAGAACCCGCCGTGTGCCCCCACTGCTGCGGTCTTCACCACACACACGCTTTTCTAAGCGGTTCCTACAGAGTTGAATGGGGACCTCCCTGCTTTCCTGCTCACCCAGGACTTTGTACGTGCCAGGCAGGCACTTGACCACCGAGTGGCCGGCCCAGCCTGTGGACAGTGAGCAGGGAAATGCACCACTGCAGCATGTGAGTGTGTAGAAACCCACAGAAGCCCCTCTCCACGCTCCCAGATCTAGAGAAGTTTTCCACACAGCGCACTTCCGTGCTGGCACTGCTCTACCACCCTTTCAGAAGTGCAGCACTAGCTTTTCATGAACACCGCGAGGAGAAAGTAGGACCTACCACACTCAGGTATGAGCCCGGGCCATGGGTCAGACCGAAGGTTTGTAGCAGAGGGGCGATGGAGGTGGTGAAGAGCCCCCACCACAGGCCGAGCAACTCCGGGTGAGTCACAGGGGTGTCGTGGGACACGCTTTTGACACTTTTGGTTTGGGGGTCATAAGTGTAATTCCATGGCTTCACACGTCCCAGGAAATGCACAACCTTGGCACTGGCGCCAAACCTGTGGAGAGACGTGGAGGAAACGGTTGGAGGTGTGGATGCTGGCGTGGGCGGCACCCCACCTTGCAGCGGTGGGAAGGAAGCGGCTTCGCTGTAACCATGGGAATGGCTTTCTAAATGATTCAGCCTGCTAAAGACCCTGTGTAAAAGCAGCAGCCAAGGCAGGAACGGTGCAGCCGCTCGGAAAAAGCTCAAGCGGGCCAGAACTCCTGTCCCTAAACGTCTGCCTCCATGGTGTAGAAAGCCTGTCCCTAGGACAAACCTGCCACAGTCAGCACAGTGGCAATGCTAATGAACATAAACCAAAACTGGGCTGTAGTGTGGGCGTCATTCCTTTCTCTCCTGCTCTCCTGACATCCCACAAATGGAAGCTGTGGGGGGCAAGGCTTAGGTGAGCTAAGACCAGGCTGTCAGAATGTGCCAGGTGCAGGTCAGTGTCGCGTGCTCTTTCTCAGTTTACCTCCACAACAACTGAGGAAAGCAAGGCCTGAAGCTGAGTGGTACAGAGGGCTGCCCGCCCGTGGGTGACGCCCAGCCGGAGCCTCGCTGTGAGACACTTCCAGAACTGTCATTTGTTCATCCACAAGGCCATGCCCACCCACAAACAGTGAATCTGAAAGGAGAGAAGCCAATGCGCCAAGCTCAGCCAAGAACCCAGACCAAGCAGCAAGCAGCAGGGCAGAAGGCGCGAGGCAAGACAGCTGGACCACGCAGCTGCACCCACCGTGCGGGCGAGGCTCGGAGCTCCCACCAGCACCCAGCACCGCCCTCCTGGACAGGCACAGTCTACCTTCCCAGTCGACTCACTACTCATGCCTGAACACCTAATACCACAGAGACGTGAAGCCCAGGAAACGAGAAGTTACTTCATGCCTAAACTATTTTAGGGGCTGGCAATGATTCTTAATGGTAGAGCACTGGCCTAGCATGTGAACAAGGGGAGGGAAGGGAAAGGAGAGGTGGAGGGGGAGAGGAGGAGAGGATAAAAGAAAAAAGGAACGGAAGGAGAGGGGAAAAGAAGAAAATTAAGGAAAATAGAAAAAAAGCAGGGGGGGGGAGGAGAGGAACAAAAGAACATTCTATGCTACATGCAACGGTGGCACACCTCACAGAAGGGCGCGGGACCCTCTTGGGTGGTGTGTGTCCCCAGAAGGCCGCATGCAGGTGGGGTTGGGAGGCAGGGAGCTGAACTGCGGGCCGAGGCAGGCGGTGGTGGGGAGAGGGGCAGGTGTGGGCCACTGAGAGGAACGGAGCCCATTTCCTGATTCATACCCAACTGCCAGCCAGGAATGAAAACAAGATGCAGGGCCTCTCCCAATTGTCTCTAAAGACCCGCGGCCATTCATTCTGCCCCAGCACGGGGATGGGTCTCAGCTTGCACACATCTCTTAAAATAAATGTTCTAATTTTAACTTGCTAGAATCTGGAAAGAGCCATCCAGATCACAAGACATGGTTTGAACCTGACCCAGCACTGAGACTGCTTATGTGAGCCGTGAAAATAAATCCCAGTGACCCTATGTTACCAAAAGATGAGACAGAATTTTCCTGAGTGGCTTAGCGGCTGGGAAGTGCGTGTGTACTGCAGGGAAGGGAGGAGGAGCTGGACCGCGGGAGTGCACAGCGTCCCCATTCTCCCAGGAAGCATGGCTTGGGGAAAGCATCTTTGTGAGGAGGGCCATGGGGCGGGGCGGGGAGGAGGGGGAACACGGGGGCAGGGGAGGGGTGCAGCAGCCTGGGAGAAGCTCCTACCCCTAGGCCGAGCCCCTTCCAGCTGCCCTGCATGTGCTCTCTGGAGAGCCCTGGAAGTGAGAACTACTCAAGCCCAGACCCTCAACACACACTGGGGCCTGGCCGGCCACGTGCACAGCCTGGTGCTGGCCTCTCCCTAGACTCGGCCACACTGCCCCAGCACCATCTCTCCTGCCGGCTGTGCTTTCGGTGTCCCCCACACTGCCTGCCTCTGACCCTTGTGCGGAGGCCCCTCCTCTCCCACCGCACCCCCTGCACCTCGATCCCACCCACGTGAGAACCCACAGCCGCTGTTCTCCACGCACCCCCACGCTGCATGCCCTTCCGGCCCTAAATGGCCATCCATATTCTCAGCCTCCACTGTCAGACACACTTGGACAGGCTCCCAAGGGCTTTCTCCAGACTTCTCTTCCCAAGGCCACTGGTGAGGAAGGAGGAGAGCTGGGGAAGGGGAGGAGAGCTGGTGGGGAGTGCGGCCTGGCTCTGTGCAGTCCAGGACAGCTGACTGAGGAGGGCAGATGCAGGGTGGGGACCGGCCTGACCCCTGCCGCCCGCCGGTGGGGTCCCTGGGCCTGACCTCTGCCGCCCGCCGGTGGGGTCCCTGGGCCTGACCCCTGCCGCCCGCCAGTGGGGACGCCCAGCCAGTGGGCCTGGTCGTCACCTAAACATGGCAAAGCCACACACCGGAGACTTCCCAGATGAGCACCCCTGCTTCATTCTAGGGAGAAGCCATTTTCATCCCCTGGATCTCAACCTTTTTCTGGGAAGTTCACTCAGAGGATTAAAACAACCGAGTTCTTGAGAGACAGGACTAAGATTCCAAGTTTCCTCCCCTTCCCCCCCCCCCCCAGCTAAGTCAGCCCCACTGGCTTCTTGTTCAGCCTAACAATAAAAGAAACACCAACTTCTCCCGAAAGGCAGAGTGCTCCATGCTGGTAATAAGGTGGGCAGCCCATGGAGGTAAACTGAGTCACGGGGAGACAAGACCCACTGTGTCTGGCAGCCAGCACCTGCCAGGATGCAGGGCGTCTGCGTCACACAGCTCCCTGTCACTACTTCAGCCGAGGGGCCACGCCCCTGTGGCGTCTTGGAACCAATGACAACAAACCAGGCCTCTCCTGGGCTCTTGGGAGTGCGTCCTCCGCTTGCTTCAGGATGCAGTGGCATGGCTCAGGGTTTGCCCCTTGAGCATGAAGGCAGGCCGTGGGGGTCAGATCCTCACAGTCCTTATCTGGGGGTGTTGGGGGAGGCCTGTCCCCCAAAGGGACCACACAGGAAGTCGTTCTGCTGCAAGGAGCAGCGTGCTTATGAGCACGGGTGGGCGTGCCCCCCACCCTGAGAGTTCTGGGTCAGGAAACGGGAGGACGGAAGGCCCGGGCACACGGAGCAGAGACGGGAGCCAGCCCAGCAGAGGGCTGCCCTGCTCAACCTGACACAGAAGTCCCAATCGTCTCCTCAGATCCCCACGCATGGGTCAGAACTAAAGAACAGGCCTGGGCCCCGGGGAACGTAAACACCGCCATACCCTGGCTAAGGCTGACAGCGACAACAACACGGCACCTGTCCCTCAGGGACCTGTGCCAGTTCACTGCACCCTCCGACGGCCCTGAGCGGGGTCCTGATTCCCTCCTCAGTCTGCACCCGCAAAGTGAGGCAGGGGCCAAGCCACGTAGCAGGGAAAGGCCGGTGGGGACTCCTCCTGCCTGTGGGCTCCGGTGAGCACAAGGCTGCACTGCCCTCAGCTGGGCGTGAGTGACCCCACCCCTCCGAGTCCCCCCCCCCCCGCCCAGTCCCGGGCACCCAGGATGATGTGGAACCACCGTGCTAGGTCCCTAGCCAGCAAGTGGCCATCCAGAAGGTGGCCTGAGTCTGTCTCCAGAGCTCTGACCTGACAGCGGCACCACTGAGTCCTGCTGACTCCTGGGTGTCCGGGAGGGACACCCCTGTGAGGGTGACGATGCCCAGCCTGGCCAGGGAGCAGGGTGGAGGGAGGCGTGCACCCCAGCGGGTCTGTCTATCCAGCAGGGGAGCAGGGTGGAGGGAGGCGTGCACCCCAGCGGGTCTGTCTGTCCAGCTGGGGAGCAGGGTGGAGGGAGGCATGCACCCCCAGCGGGTCTGTCTGTCCAGCCGGGGAGCAGGGTGGAGGGAAGCGTGCACCCCAGCGGGTCTGTCTATCCAGCAGGGGAGCAGGGTGGAGGGAGGCGTGCACCCCCAGCGGGTATGTCTGTCCAGCTGGGGAGCACGGGGAGGGAGGCGTGCACCCCCAGCGGGTCTGTCTGTCCAGCCGGGGAGCAGGGTGGAGGGAGGTGTGCACCCCAGCGGGTCTGTCTGTCCAGCCGGGGAGCAGGGTGGAGGGAGGTATGCACCTACAGCGGGTCTGTCTGTCCAGCCGGGGAGCAGGGTGGAGGGAAGCGTGCACCTACAGCAGGTCTGTCTGTCCAGCCGGGGAGCAGGGGGGAGGGAGGCGTGCACCCCAGCGGGTCTGTCTGTCCAGCCGGGGAGCAGGGTGGAGGGAGGCGTGCACCCCCAGCGGGTCTGTCTGTCCAGCCGGGGAGCAGGGTGGAGGGAGGCGTGCACCCCCAGCGGGTCTGTCTGTCCAGCTGGGGAGCAGGGTGGAGGGAGGCGTGCACCCCCTGTGGGTCTGTCTGTCCAGCCAGGGGGCAGGGGGAGGGAGGCGTGCACCCCCAGTGGGTCTGTCTGTCCAGCCAGGGAGCAGGGGGAGGGAGGCGTGCACCCCCAGCGGGTCTGTCTGTCCAGCCGGGGGAGCAGGGTGGAGGGAGGTATGCACCTACAGCAGGTCTGTCTGTCCAGCCGGGGAGCAGGGTGGAGGGAGGCGTGCACCCCAGCGGGTCTGTCTGTCCAGCCAGGGAGCAGGGTGGAGGGAGGCGTGCACCCCAGCAGGTCTGTCT